GGCTCCTCGGAGCGGGCCCGGTGCTTGCAGGAGGGCGGTGCTCGGCGGGGCGATGCTCCGGGGTCGTTTGGCCTTGAGGAGTGGGGAGCAGAGCCCGACTGCTGGCGGCCGTCACCCCACGGGCAGCGAGGGAGGAGGCCCAAAGGGTTGGGCAACTTTTCCGTGCTGTTTTCGCACGCTGGGAGAGCTGTTAGGGAGAGCAGCGTGTCAGGTCCCTGCTTCCCGCCGGCCCGGGGAGCCCTTCGGGGCAGGGGAGTCCTGGGGAGGGGGTTAATACGTGTAAAATGCTCCCTCCTCAGTCCTAGCGACTGAGCTAGGGGAAGCTGCGTTGATGGGAAACTGCTTGGAGTCAGGAGCCCGTAGGTTTAACGAGGGGAAGTATTTATTTATCGTTAGGGCATCTCCAAGGATTGGAAGTGCAACGTCTGGCACTGGTTTAACTGTGTCAGGGCTGCTAAAGGGGGCATCTTCTTTGGAGGGAGCTGCTTTCAAATACTTACCTTTTGGTGTACCAGGTGTTGATGATGTGATATAAATGATAAATAAAGTTGATATAGGTGAAGTCCATTACAGCTTGTACAGCAACGCTTGTTCTATGGAGAAGTTTGGCTTGTTAAATATGCTGAAGCCTACATACATGTTTGATGTAATTTATGTGCTGGACCTTCAGGGTTTTTAATATAGAAGCTGTTGCTATGTTGCAATAAAAAGCCTTCCCAAGCACTCAAAAATGGTTTTGCAGCTTGGAGCTTCAGAAAAATCAAATTGGAGGCTCTGTTAGACAAATCTATTGGAACAGAGCATGCCCTGATGTTGTTAATCTTGCATGCCTCTAGAGTTTTAAGAGCTGCCAGCATCTTGCCGCTAGTGTATTAGTTTGATAGTTTCTTCAGAGCTTGTAAATGGAAGTAGTTGGACTAACTCTAGAATAGATAAGGCAATCAGATTGATGGTGGTAGGAATAACCACATGGTTCTGCATCTGTTCTGTTCTCAGGAAGCATGCATCTGCAGCTGCACCTGAGTGGTAGGTGCTTCCTCCTCCACTGCACTGTTTGTAGCAACTGTAACAGCAGGGATGTGTGTGCAAGGATTAAGATTAGGTAGCAGAGAAGCAGTGATTTTGTGCTATGAATGAAGGTTGAGACTGTGCTGAGTGGGGCCCGTCTGTAGGTTAAACGTTCAACAGCTTTGCTTGGCAGCCTAGGCTTGGTGAATCAAAGGAAAAGGAGCCTTTCTAATATAGTGTCTTGGAAAACGGAACAAGGGTAGAATGAAAGAAAGAAAATTGCTTGGAATAAAAGTAGTGGTAAATATGCCAAGATATCCAGAGAGGTAATCTGGGTTGAAGGACCACGTAGAGACAATTATGAGAGAGAAATTCTGGAAAAGATTGTAGGAAACATCAGGAGCTTCCTGAAGAGAACTGTTAATTGTACAAGTGTGCTCTGTTGATGTTGCATAGATTCTTCAGAGAGAGGTTTGTAAAATGCCATTACTAATGCAAGGTTTATTTGTTGGTAGGTAGCCTAGGCTATCAGTTTCTGTAGTGTTTAGGTTCTCATTTGAGGTACTAAATTGTAATCTGTTCACTGTGGAGATAATATTCCAGTTGTGAAACTAATGCAAGCTGATGTAGGCAGCAGACTTCCCAAGACTGCAGAAGTTGGTGAGACTGTATTTGTGCTCACAGCTGAGGTTCATCAGCCCCAGAGCAATGTGTATAAGAATAAATTTTGTCTGGCACTACAAAGACAGTAATGCAGCTTCAGAAATGTTTGTTTTATACTACTGCTTCTGTCATCTGAACAAGCTATGTACAGCAGATGATGCGATTACTTGAGAGCTGTTTAGTTCTATGTGACGGTGTGTGTTGCCTTTGAAAGCGTTCCTTTAGAGAACTGCTCTACTTAGTTTCACAAACTTTGAGCTTGCTGCCTGCTCTGTGTCTATCCAAAGCTTTAAGTGCATTCCGTGGTATATAGGAACAGTGAAAAGGAATTGAACAGGCTGACTAAATATTATCATCCATGACAATGTGTTGGTGCCTCAAGTATTTCCCTTTTGAAGTATATAATTGCTGACATCTCTTGTTTAGAAGAAGGAGCTGCTGTCTAGTGCTGTTTCGCCTTTTTGACTAATGCTGCACAATGTAGTTAGGATGATTCTGAATTATTTCACAGTCCAAATGAAACAGACTTGGACATGACTCTGGAAGTAGTTTGTCTTGTGCCATTTATACCAAGAAAGTATTGCTAGTGGTATTTACTTATAGCTTGTTATCCTCAAAATCCTTTTGTAGCATCCAGTTGTATTAAAGTTGTGTATGCACATAGATATATTTATGAAACATAAATAGACTTTGTTTCTTAGTGGAGATAATCACGTTGCTGGGATGTGCTCAAATATCACAGAGAAGGTGCATATGCACTGACCTGGATTGGTAAAACTAATTATGAGCTTTTAAAATAAATGTGTGATTTTTCACACCAGGAGCTCTTGTCATTGGCCAAACGGAAACGCAGTGACTCTGAAGAAAAGGAGCCACCTGTGAGCAAACCTACAGCATCTTCAGACTCTGAGACATCAGACAGTGATGATGAGGTGAGTTTGTCGTGTTATCACTGAACTTACTGTGGGTTGTCTGTACCTAAGCAGTGCAAGTGTATTTATCATACAGTATATTTAGCCTGCTGACTTCACGAAGTGGATTAAGCCCAGAGGATGTGTACTCAGAAATACTTTTCTTTTTTTCTTTTCTTGTAATTAATATGCTTTGAATTTTAACTATATAAGAAACAGTCTGAATGTCTATAGAAAAGATGACTTTCTGATTAATCCCATGCTCATGTGGTCTGAATGGTCTGGTGATCTGCCTGCTTAACACTAGTGTTTTCCCTGTATATTGCTTGCAGTTGAAGTAGTAGTGTAGTTGCTAGAGCTGGACTCTGAATTCAGGGGAGAGGTTTTCAGCTTTAAAAAGGGAGCTTCCTTCCTCAGAGAGGAAAAGGGTCAAGGCAGGTGCTACTGTTTTGCAGGTGGTAAAACTGTTGTTTAGCTCCTTTGAGTCTCCAAAATCTCTACTGTGACGTAGCTTGTCTGGTCATTTGAACGTGCAACAGAGTTTGGTTTTGTTTGGCATTTTGGAAAAAAGTGAGATGAGGAAGAGTTTAGAATTACTTTGTTCTAGGGTTTTCTCAATTCCTTGTATGGCAGTGCTTATCTGAGAGATCTGTTTTTATTATTTGTTCTTGATACTACATTCTAGAGCTGGTTAAACGTTTCTGCTTTCATCTATAAATTAAAATTGAAATAGACATTAAAACAGAGGAACTGTCAAACAGGTAATACAGGTATTTGAATAAAAACACTTTCTCAAAGGGTTCCAAATGTCTTTTTCAAGCTTTCTGCACAATGTAATGAGATCATTTATTCTTATGAAAAAATTAACAGGGAGCTGTTTGGGGTGGATTTTTCTTCCTGAAGCTACAGGAAGGATTATTCGTTGTGACAATTTGAATATCATTAGGGTAGACCAGTGATAAACTGTTAACTATTAAACATTTGGTAGTGCAGCAGTGTTCTTCCAATAAATGTAAAAAATGTGTGGTTTAGTATTCTTTCTGAGATATGTTTGAAATAAATATGCTTGGAACTCTGTTTCAATCAATCCTTTTCTTTAAAAAGAAAGTACTCTTGTATCTAATATTTGCTTAAGGCATAAGGAGAGAAAAGATGGTGATTGGACTAGGTGTTAGGTTTGCTGTTGTGTGACTGCTCGATCTGTCACTGTGTGTATTCAGATCTGCTGGGACACAGCTTATTTATTCTAGGCTGTGTAGAGACCAGCTTGCCTGGAAAGGTCGACTTAGGTGTGGAGAGTATGTTGATGTTAAAACTGACAGAATAAATCATAGAATCACAGGATGGTTTGGGTTGAAAGGGACCTTAAAGATCATCTGGTCCAACCCCCCTGCCACAGGCAGGAACACCTCCCACTAGACCAGGTTGCCCAAAGCCCTGTCCAACCTGGCCTTGAACACTTCCAGGAGGAGGCATCCACAACTTCCCTGGGCAACCTGTGCCAGTGTCTCACCACCCTCACAGGAAAGAATTTCTTCCTCTCTCAGCCTGTCTTTGTAGCAGGGGTGCTCCAGCCATCTGGTAATTTTTGTGGCCCTCATCTGGACAGTATTAGTCAAATTATTTTTTTTAGTTTGTCTAAGGTCTGCCTTGCCATTGTAGGTCAATGTAACAACGTATCCCTTCATAAGGGGCCTTGCAGATGCAGTAGTAGATCTATTGCACCATGTGCATTTGCTACTCTGTTTCTTCTGTGTGTCATTTCTAATTGATACTCTGTTCTTTCTGACCTCCATGCAGCAAGAGGAAAAGATTTAGAGAAGAGGTAATTAGGACACTTGCTTCTATTCCTGTGCCTGAAATATGCATTCTGAACTGCTGCTTGTCACAGCAGCGTGAGACAGGCTTGGTTATGACAGTTCTGCTTCTGCCAGTCATTCAGTTGTGTGCATCCCTAGGCTTGACTGCACTGCTTCTGCTGAACAACTTTGGTTTTAATCGGTGTTTTTGTGGTTGGTTTGAAGTTTGCTCAACCTTGAGGGCTGGGGGAGGGGTGTCTAAAAGTTGAAATTGTCTTACTGGACTTCCTGCAAGATGAGGACCTTGATTTCATGCAAAAGCATGGAAATTACTGCCCTGGGTAAATGTGCTTAACTGTACCCATTTGCTTCCATGCAGGTTTTGTAGTGTGGGCTTCCTCCGTGGTTCTTGGCAAGCATTAAAGTTCCAGGATTCTAACTATGTTGCATGTACAGGAAAGGAGCCTGAATCTCTCCTTCAGAGGCTAGTGCTACGTTCTGCACTTTTTAAAAGGGAGGAAAGCTTACGGGGCATAGGGGAGAGAAAGTGCATTTTGGAATTACAGAATAACAGCATGTGTGAGTCATGGCACATCTGTACAATGGTGCCCAAAGGATTCCAGTAGATCTTTGATGTTTTATTTTGTGTGTCTCCATGAGAATGCACTTCCGTGAAAGCTCTTAGCCACATAAGGTGTTGGTGGTGGGCATGCTGGGTTCTGTAACACTAAGGACTTCTGTGGTCTGAATCACATTACCTAGCCAAGGGATTGAAGGTGAGTTGCAGGCAATTAAATAGGAGGAAGGCTCTGAACCATTTTCTGGTGAGTCTGTGGAACATGCATGACTGAATTGACTATGAACTGCTGTTCGGAGAACTGATAAATAACAATGACTGCAGGGCTTTGCAATAAGAAGTGCTGCCCTCACAAAGAGTACGAAGCCAGACACAGATGTGGAGGCAGACAGCTCCTTTAACTGTGGAGCAGTGTGTGGCCAGGACTTCTCAAGAGCTGACCATCCCAAATTGTTGTTAGCCTGCTGCACATAACCAGTTTGGTGTTAGCTAAGTTACTGCTGAGGCTGCTGTACTAGAGGTATATGTATCCATAAGGTATCCTCGCTGCTTATTGAAGACATTATGTGGATGGTGTTCCTCAGTTGCAGTAGGTTAATTCTGGATTCTTGCTTATCCTTTTATCCTGACATCATTGCTCACAGTAACAGAATTCTTTCTGTAGCATGTTGAAGCCTGGATGACTTCTGCAACACCTTCACTAACATCAGTGTAGATTAGATAGAAAGCCATGATGCTGTAGGAGCTCCTGTTTCTCTTGAAAGGTTCTTGTTAGCAATGATGCTCCAAGTCTGTGCATCCATCTATGCTCATTCTAATGTTTTGAGGGGTTTGGTTGTGCCTTTTAACAGCTCTAGTGTCATAACAGAAGATACTTCCAGGACAAAGCAAGTTATATCATGAATGCTTGATTCTAGTCTGGAGTTTAGTGAGGAATCTCTGTTTATGCCTTTATTTGCAATTGTGGTAATACAGACAGTAGGGAAATCAGTCTCAAATAACAGTTGACTTATGAGGCTTTATGCCCATATTATGAAGAAAGGGCTTGAAAGTTTGTATCTACTTACTGTACTTCAAGTTGGAGCACTCTAGTAGACCACAGATTAGCAGAAAACTGCATGTGTTCCTTCTGTTTTGGGGTGTCTTATGAGTTTGTAGAGAGTACGATGCTAAATGTCTTCCTTCCCTGTGTGCTTTTATTTCATAATACTGCTTAATTAGACCCTCAAGAATGAGTGGGTTTTCCCGTCCTGTAAGGCCTTTGCCATACATATTTTCAGGCTTGGGAAATTTGAACCAGGCTGCACTTTAATCTTCTTATACATGACCTTATAGGCTGTGTGCTTTGCAACTTTGGCTTTTCTTGGAGACAGTTTCCTTCCGCTGTTAGTGGGTGCAGTAGTAAAGCTTTTCTTAAGGAAGAGAAGTGCTGCTACATCCCACACGCCATACAAAGTGCAAGTGCAAACCTGAATAGTGCAGGCTATTTGTGTGGAGGCTAGCATGTCCAAAGTGGTAATGTGAACTAGCTGTGGACAAAACACATACAAAATTTGGTCTGCAAGTAGCTTCTTTAAATTGCAAACTAGCATGGGGATAAATTCTGGGGATCTGATTTATGTGTGCCCTGGTTTCAGTTGTAATAGAGTAGTTTTCTTCCCAGTAGCTGGTATAATACTGTCATTTGGATTTGGGATGAGAACAATGTTGATAACTCACTGATGCTTTAGTTATTGCCAAGTGGTGCTTACACTAAGTCAGGAACTTCTCAGCTTCTCAGACTACCCTGGCAGCGAGGAGATGGGGGCTAACATGAGGCTGGGAGGGGACGCAGCCAGGACAGCTGACCCAAACTGGCCGAAGGCATATTCCATACCATATGACTTCC